CTTTCCATTTCAGCTTTCGCTGTGCTCCTTCACTTGTTGTCAGCATTGTAAATCCATTCCTGGGCCTGGGTGGGGCCTGCCCTATAAATAAACACGAAAGCAAGGCATCTTTGCCATAGGACATACCCCTGACAGATGGCACCAGCCTCCGCCCAGCCCATGGGAAGATTCTTGCCTCACTGCCACCACCCTACCCCCAGATTCACAGGCTCTCCCACCAGGATTCTTGGCCCTCCCAGCCCTGGAGCAACACCTAGGATCCTAAGCCATTACGTTTGGGGGCACTGAGTAGGTGTCAGTCATTCTTCAAGCCCTTTGAATATAGCAAAGTTCTCTTAACCTTTTGAGGGTGGTTCTGTTATGCCCCTGAGTAAATTGAGGCTGGGGGAGGGGTGCTGTTAAGTAACTTGCCCAAGGACCAAGGACAGGAAGAGGGGTTTAAACTCCATTCTAACTTCCATTCCAGATTGGTTTTTCCTAAGGGCTGCATATCAGAATTCACACTGTTCTCCACTAGAAAGACTACAGGACAGGTGCAGTGTCCTGTGAACATTTCACAAGTACCTGCCAGAGGTAGGCAAGCCCCCCTCCCAGGCCCACCTGCAGCTTACCTCAGGCAGTCCCAACTGACAGGTGAGCAACACCTTTGAAGATTTTAGTAACGTTTTATCTTATTTTTTAAGTACACGTATAATCCACAAATTCATGTATGGCAAAATTTCAAACACTTCCCTTTTGTTCTCAAAGCAGTGTTTTTCAGTGTCTTACCAAATAAGTCAAGGACAAGTGGCTCAATTGACATCAATTTTGGGATAATGCATTTTGTCTATATTTACTTTGTTTCCTCCAAAGCTAATTATCAAGGCAATACAAATAAATACTAAACATGGCAACCAAAAAAAAAAAATCCCAAAACACAAGCAACAAACTAAATACTGTGTTAGTGAGACCCAGGTCCCAAATGTCCACGTGGTTAATAAACAGACCACAGCACACAGGGAACCGAGTGACCTCGGTTCACAAGTCAGCGGTACACTATTTTCCTGGTCCTTGCTGGCAAGAGCTGGTCCACCTGCCACCCCGCTATTTTACGCGCATAGGTGCCACCATCAGAATAAGAAGGTAGTAAGCGCTGTCTCAGTCCAGAGGAACTGGCTACGGAGGGGTAAGAGCGCCAGGAGAGAAGAGGCCGAGAGCCTCCCGGCCTGATTTCGCTGCCTGGGTCCTCTACCTGGAACAGAGGCAGGCCAGGTACCTCGGCAAACTCAGAGCACCAGGAACCGCGGCAACCCACTTAATAACCCAGCCACCGGGCGGGTTTAGCGGTCAAGGCTCCTGCTAGGTTCCTTGTCCTCGTCCAAGGCAGGACCTGGGTCGCTCTCAGCCTTGCGGGGGCTCGGGGCGGGCGGGGGAGAGCCAACTCCACGGGATTGGCACATTCCTCGCCGGTGCGGAGCGAGTGGGAGCCCACAGGGAGGAGCTTGCGGGCTACCCGCACATCTCCCAACCTCCACCCGCACCCGACCCCAGCACCTAGCCTTTCCCCGGGATGACACCTCGAGCCGCCTCTCGCCCCCTGCGTGGACAGGGGTGAGCAGGAGGAAGTCCTTCCAGGAACCTGGCGGGGCTGCTCTGCGCGCTAGAGGCTGCGGGCTGGCAGGACCCAGATCTTCTCGCCGCTCCCGAAGCCAGGTCCCGGGGACGGATCGAACTCCCATCGCCAGCTCGAACGCGGGCTGCTCCTCACCTCCAACTCCCACCTGCGATCCGCGGGGCCGAAGGGGCCCCGGAACCTCACAAGGGTTCCCCGCTACCTACCTGGTGCTGCCGGGGACCCCTGGCATCGGCATCCGAGCGGGCTTGGCGCTGGCCCCAGCTTTGCAGCTACTCCCTCGGTGGGCGCACGCGGGCGCGGGCCGGGAGAGAGGGAGACAGGGCGGGCGGCCCGGCCCCGCGCCGGGTTATATGGGCGCGGAGAGGGGAGGCGCCGCGGGGAGGGGGGCGGCCGCAGGCGTTAGCGCCTTTCGCAGCCGGGAGGCGGGAAGGCAGCGCGGGCACTCAGCCGTGGCGGGCGGCGGGGCCCGGCCGGGGCTCTGGTCTCCTACCGGCGCTCCGCCTCCCCAGCTGGCCCTGTCCGGGTCGGGGTCCCCGGGCCCGCTCCGCCCCGCCTCCTTCCCGCCGCTGTTTGGCGCGCGCCGCCCCGGCTGAGCCCCGGCTGGGTCGCGGGTGCGGCGCCGGACGCGGGTCGGGGGCCAGGGCCCTCCGGAGGGCGGGACGGGACTGCGCCCTTCGGCAGGACTGAGGGCGGCAGCAAGGGCGCGCGGGATCCCAGGGGCGGGCACTGGTACAGACTCCGCGCCCCGATGCCCTGGAGTCCATCCCAGACTCAGCTCCCCAGTCTCCCCATCTTCCCAACCCCCCCGCCCCCGCCCACCGAGTCCCCCACTGCAATGCGCTTGGGATCCAGGGGCAGAAGTGCCTGGAGCAGGGTATACCGGCGCCTGCCCCCGAGTCCACACTGGCTGTGGCAGACGGACCTGGAATGAACCCCAGGCCCAGGGCAGGGGAGGAGGAGGTGGTTTTCGTAGAAGCCACATCAGGAACCTTCTCCGCTGAGGGCTCCTGGCCCACTCTGCTCGCCTACTTGAGGCCACCGCACTGCTCCGACCCCAGCGGAACGGTGCGCCTCCAGGCCGGGGCCGGGGGGCCGGTGGGGGATAGGGACTCCCGCCTGCGGACCTTCCAGGGCCGAGGCCCGCATCCTGCTCCCCTCTCAGGAGACATTGCTGCCTCCTGGCCCGGGGCGCCTGATTCTGTTATTATTATTTTGTTGTCTTTTTTTTGGGGTGGGGGGAGCGGTACTGGAGTTTGAACTCAGGGCCTTGCTCCTGCCAGATAAGCGCTCTACCACTTGAGCCAGCCCGATTCTGTTCCTGTTTGCGGAAGATGCGCGCGGTGTACCCATGTGCTTCGAGCACGGAGCAAATTTGGGTTAGGCCGGGGAGGAAGGGGGGTCCCTTCTGACGGAGACATCGCTGCTCTACAGGCCGCTCCCGTGCTGATTAAGTGGGGCTCTCATCCCGGTAAGCAGGGCCTCCGCTGGAGGACCAGACATACACAGGGTGAGTGCCAAGCGACACTCCCTCATTGGCACCTGCCTGAGCTGCCCCTCCCCCCCATGCTGTGGAGACCCATTGTCTGGCTCTGCAACGATGCCCCTTACCCAAGGTTACCCTACATACCCTCGAAGAGAAGTTGAATACAACCGTGGGGATCTTTCCAGGGGCTAGGCGCTGGAAGGTGAAAGCAAGACCCAAACCGGAACTCGCCTTTCAGAACGCATGGGCGGGTAGGTGTGTCAGGGGCTGCGCTATTGGGCAAGCTTCAGAGGCGCTAGCGGGCACTTCAGACAACTAATGGCTTGTGTGAGCAAGGGAGTGAGTGACGTTCTGTCCTGGGAAGACGCCCTGGGATCTCTTAGGCTACCGAGTACAAGCGCGGTAGGAGAGCCCAGCGAAGGTGGTTGGTCCCAGGGTGGCCCGTTAGCAGTCCTCCTTCCAGTGCATCCCAGCCCAAGAAATGCAAAGAATGAACAGGCAGGTGCAGGGGTGCGCTTGCTCTGCCTGGTATCCAGGACTAAGCAGGAGTTGGGACACCTGATGGCTGAGAACATGGCTTGGATGTTGATAAAGGAATCACATCCTAGATTGCAGAGTTAACAAATGGCTTGTGACATACAGGAGGGTCTTCCTGACCCCAGAAAATAACAGTTCAGTCTCTGAGAGTTAATGACACATAACTCAGTTTCCCAGGACTGACCACCCCCATCTCTGCAGACCCCAATAAAAGCTTGAGGTCTTGGAACCCCAGTGCAGCAGCACTCCTTCTTAGTTCGTCCACCCTCCTGTTGAGGGTGCACCTTCGCTTTGCTTTCGCTTTGCTCTGCGTTAATAAACCTGCCCCATCCCTCTCATGGGAGCAGCAATCCCTGTTTTCTGCTGCCCGCTGCTTCTCTGGGTCCTAATAAACCTCTTGCTTCTCCTACTTGTCTTGGTAAATTCTTTTACCAACCCTCTGCATTAAAAATCCCCGACAAGGGTCAAATTCGTTCTGTACAGCTCTGAGAAGCACCGGAGCCTGAGGTGAGGGTCCCGATGCAGGTCTTTGCTCTACTTAGCAAAAAGAAACAAAGGGCAATTCGCCTGTAATCCTAGCTATTTGGAAGACTGAGATTAGAAGGGTCCATCCGGATTTGAAGTCAGCCCAGCCAAATAGTTTTGGAGACCCCACCTCCAAAATAATCAGAACAAAATATACTAGAAGTGTGACTCAAGTAGAGCAGAGCGCCTGCTTTACAAGTGTGAAGCCAAATCCGGTTCTACCAAAAAAAAGAAGAAAGAAAGAAAGAAAGAAAGAAAGAAGGAAGGAAGGAAGAAAGGAAAGAAAGAAAGAAAGAAAAAACGAAAACCCAAGCAAAGCAAATATTTACTTAGATGTTATGTATAAAATGTGACATATATTATAGGGATTATATTAAATATTTAAAATATACCTTCTAACACAAGCATAAATATACATGTATATACAAATATGTATTTACATATAAATACATGTATGTGTACACCCGCACAGGTCGCCCAGTTAAATTTGAATATCAGATAAGGGAGCAATATTTTATAGTCTAAGTATGTCCCAGCCAACATTTTGGAACATATTTATACTAAAAATGATTCGTTATTTATCTGAACTTCAAATTTAGCTATGCGTCCTGCCTCTTGTCTGCAGCCCCATCTGGCGAGGACTCCGGACCGCCTATTCTTGGCCTGAGGGGTTCTGGAACAACTCCTCAAAGAGGGGCTGGCAGCGCTTTTAAGGAGCCAGGCGCGGACTCCCGGCCCCACAATGCAGCGCGGCCGCTCTCAGCGCCCATAGGCTGCGGCTTGTTCCCGCCCCCTCACTTCCGGCCCGCTGCCTCCGCCTCTCTTCCGGAGTCCGCTGCCTGCGGCGGGTCGGAGCCCGCGGCTGGCTGCGGCCATGAACTTCTCGGAGGTGTTCAAGCTTTCCAACCTGCTCTGCAGGTTCTCCCCGGACGGCAAGTACCTGGTGAGCGGCGCGCGGCGTATGTGCCCACGACAAGACCCGCGGGACGGGTGCATCCCGGCGTGGGGAGCGGGGCGGACCCCTGAATCGCGAGCACTGGGCAGCCGCGTCCTCAGGGTGCAGGCAGCTCGGAGGCCCGGCAGGAGCTCCGGGCAGAAGAGGGGGCCTGAGCAGGTGATCTGGGCAGGAGAGGGACCCGGACAGGTGCCTCGGGCAGGTGCGGGACCTGGGCAGGTGATCTGGGCAGGAGAGGGACCCGGACAGGTGATCTGGGCAGAAGAGGGGGCCTGGGCAGGTGATCTGGGCAGATGTGGGACCTGGGCAGGTGATCTGGGCAGGAGAGGGACTCGGGCAGGTGATCTGGGCAGATGCGGGACCTGGGCAGGTGATCTGGGCAGGAGAGAGACCCGGGCAGGTGATCTGGGCAGAAGAGGGGGCCTGGGCAGGTGATCTGGGCAGGAGAGGGACCCGGGCAGGTGATCTGGGCAGGTGCTGGACCCGGGCAAGTAACCTGGGCAGGTGCAGGATCCGGTCGGGGGCGGAACAGGAGGGGTCCCGGACAGGTGCGGGCTTCCCTACAAGGGTTTCAGTCTGTCAAAGTCGGATAAGGCGGTGCTGCTTCCATTTGAAAGCTGTGCTACAATGAATTCCTTATGACCTGGAGTGTTTTTCCCAACACATGGAATTATATGCAAGATACTAAAACCAGAAACACTGCTCTATCCCGTAACTGAGGGTACAGAAGATGTCCGTCCATTGTTATTTTGTCACCAATGGCAAATTTCTCTTGCCTGTAAACTGGTAAGTGGTGTTCCTACTTTGTTACCCTGTCTACCTTGCCTCATGAGAATAAAGTGGTCTAAAACTTGCATTCTGGCCTGAGACAAAGAAAAGTGTCCCCAGGCTGGGTTTTGAGTTGCTCCTTTCCTGGGTGACAGATGGTGTTTAAGTCACTGAGCTGTAACTTAAAGTTTTGAAATGTACCAGTATGACCAGTGTATATCCCCAGAATGGAGGGGGAAGACAGGTAATAAACATTGGAAAGCCATTAAAGAAAAAAAAAAATCTTGCCTTATAAAAACCTTGCACTCATGCCTATAATCCTAGCTATTTGGGAGGCTGAGATCTGGAGGATCACAATTAGAGGCCAGCCTGGACAAATAGTTCTCAGACCCCATCTCCAAAGTAACAGCAGCAAAATGGACTGGAGGCATGGTTGAAGTGGTACAGTGCCTGCTTTGCAAGTGCAAAGCCCTGAGTTCAAACCCCAGTCCTCCCACCCTCCCAACGCACAAAAAGCGTGCTTCATTTTATTTATCTACCACCCTCTGTTAACTTACTGATATTTCACGATTCTTTTTCCAGTTGAGCCTTTCTCATCACTCCTGCTGCCTTTTCCAGGCCTTTGAGATGATAACTCTCAAGTTACATGTTTATGGAGGTAGTATTTTAAATCACATAGAATCACAGTCAGCTACAAAGCAGAAAATGTTACCCGAAAAACCTTGGTGTATTTTTCCAAGTTCCCCCTCTGTAATTTAGAGGTTTGTTTTTACTGCTTATGAAGAGTTTCAGTGGCTTGAGAAAGAAAAAGATTATATTTGCTTGCCTCGTTTTGGTGCTTTTTGGTTGTACACGTGTCAAATTATTGTAGAACACTTGATAATCTTTTTATTAGAATCCTGTTCTTGAAAGCCCTGGCCTAAATTCTGGGTAGAGCAGTGTTTCTGGTTTTAGTATCTTGCATATACTTTGCATGGTTCTTCCAAGTGTTGGTAACAACACTCCACCTCATGAGGGATTCAATAATCACAGTTTTCAAAGTAAATAAGGCGGTAGACACTTGTTCCAACTGGCAATCACTCTCCCTCTCTCTTTTTTCTATGGAAAGCTAATGTGTTGTTTTTTTTTAATGGAAGTTAATAAAACAAACTAATAAACAAGTTTGGCCTTGATAAATACAAAAATGAAACAAAATTTAACAATCACAATGGTAGGTGTGTATCCAGGAAATACTTGCTTAGATATGGAAATGAAGAAGCTGTCTTTAAGAAAATACATTAAAACACAAACTTTCACATTTATTAATAGGAACGAGATAGTGTAGCTAAGACTGTACTTGGGAAATTCTATAATTGCATAATTTAAGCCCTTCTGTTGGTTCTGTTCTGCATTGACCTCTGTTGACTTACCCTGAGTAGGTGATGTGGGAGGGTAGTCATTTGTAGTCATTCTCACCCACAACTGTGAGCCCTTAACTCTTGTTTTCGAGACAGTGTCTTCCTGTGTAGCACAGGCTGGCCTTGAACTCTTCATCCTCCTGCCTCAGTCTCCTGAGTGCTAGGATTATTGGTGTGTACCACCACGACTAGCTGATTCTTAACTCTTTACAAATTTGAGAAAACTGTCTGAAACTGGCCGAACTAGGAGAGAATCTGGTTTTCAGTCACCGAAGAGTTTTTTTTTCCCAGTGCCGTTCCCTACCTAACTGTAGTTTTTAACATACAGTTAAAAATGCTTTAGAGAGTTTTTAAATATCCATACTAGAGGAATTTTGTTTTATTTGAAAATATTTTAATTTTAAAAATTTATGGCGTACTGTGATAATTTGGTACACAAATGCAGCTTAATGAGCAAATCAGGGTTGAAGAATTTAAAAACCTACCTCATGTGTTTCAACTTCTGTTTGCATTAACTCACCTTATTCTGGAATGGGCTGTGTAGCTACGAATCTTCTGGGACAGCAGGGAAGGCGATGTCACAGAGCTGGCATTCTGAAGGCTCCTTCCTTGTAGAGTATAAGATGTCCAGTACTTTCTTGTGTTTTCCTAGGCTTCCTGTGTCCAGTACCGCTTAGTAATTCGGGATGCGAACACCCTTCAGATCCTTCAGCTGCACACGTGCCTAGACCAGATCCAGCACATAGAGTGGTCAGCAGACTCCCTCTTCGTCCTATGTGCCATGTACAAGCGGGGTCTCGTGCAGGTTTGTGCTACAGGCAGGGGCTTGTGCAGGTGTGCGTTGGGGTTAGAATTAGGAAACCTCCCCGGAAATGTCACAAGGAATGATTTTGTTCTGTACCCTACTAGTTTGGAGAAAAGGCAATGGGGCTTAAAGTCAGTTTGCTTTTAAAATTACAATGTTCAATAATGCTTGAATCCAAATACCTTTAAAGCGAGAAAACACTAAAATATTCTTAGTCTCTGATTCAGAAACAGGAAGTATTTATCAGCAGCAGTCGCAACTTGGACCTGTGTGCTTTAGGAAGTACTAAAAAGGCCATGTTTTATTATATACCCAATGCCTAACTCCATAAGGCCCTGGGAATGGCAGCATGAACTTACTGTGCTCCACTGCCACAGAAGGAATTGCTGAGACGTGTGACATGTGTCATGAGGGATCTAGTGCCAGTTTTCATGCTGGAAGACTGAAGCTGTCCTCCCTCTCACCCAGTGCAGTAGATACGTGGCTTTTTCAAGCCCCTCTGTGCCCTCAGGGCTTGCTGGGTGTGCTGGGTAGTTTGTAATCTTGCATTTCTCTCATATGAATCGAGGTGTGGTCTCTGGAGCAGCCAGAATGGCACTGCAAAATCGACGAGGGCTCTGCAGGGCTGGTTGCCTCGTGCTGGAGCCCGGATGGACGTCACATCCTCAATACCACTGAATTCCACGTAAGTGTGGGCCTCCGCATGCCCATCTGCCGACTGATCTGTCCTCTGCTCCTGAAATAGCCTGGCAGAGTTAAGTCTACCATAAGTCAGAGCAGTATAAGCTGGAAGCATTGTTTATAAGCTTTTTGTCCAGTTTTAAAGAAATAGAAAACCTTAGGAAGTTTCGATTACATTTTTAAGGACTGAAAGTCTCAGCAATAGGAAATGAACTTTAATAGGAGCGAAGGCTGAGTATCTTTCCTGGAGACCTTGGTCTCCACGTGGCTGATTGGTAAACTGGCAAGCACTCCTTCAGGTGCTGCAAGTGTACCGTGTGTGCCGAGTGTGCCAGGTGCAGTGCCAGAGCAACGCCAAGGTGCGTGCTGGAGCTCTGACAGCACATCAGTGGGAAGTTGGGCGGTGTGAGTGTATCTCGTGAAGCTGGAATCAGGACTGATAGGGTGTTGAACTAACACAGTTCTTTGACTGATATGCTTTTTGATGGGACACTCAGCAGCGGTGGTCCTCAGTCCGTTGAGTGTTTTTAGCCATCTGGGCTGATGATTGAATTGTGGCAACCTCTTCCCTTGCTCCAGTGGGGCTGCACACGCTGTGTGGTAGCACACATGGCAAATGTTTATTTCAGCCATAAGAATGCAGGGTGGGTTGTGGGATTTCGTTGAGCCTTTTTCAAGTTGGCATCAACTGGGTACAGTTTCTATCCAACTGTCAGGGGCTGCTACATTGACTGCTTCAGACAGCTGCGGGCTTCACCTATTTTCGGTTTAAAATTTTTTTTTGAGACTGGGTCCTGCTAGGCTGGCTTTGAATTTGCTGTCCTTCTGCTCTGCCTCTAAATAGCTGGGATTACAGGTGTGTGACACTAAGCCCATCTTCAGTTTCAATTTTCAAAAATACTTTAATGCCTACTATTATAGACAGAGACAGGAAGCCAGATGTGGTGGCACAGGTCTGTAACCCCAACTACTTGAGAGGTGGCGTTTGGAGCCAACCCAGCCAGACCCTGTCTCTAAAACAAATATGGGGCTAGGGGCATGGCTCAAGTGGTAAAGCACTTGTCTGGTATGCAGGAGGCACTGTATTCAATCGCCAGTACCACAAAACAAAGCAAAACAAAACAGAACACCCCGAGGGCTAACTTCTCTGCCTGAGGTACATTGACATTTTAGGGTGCCTACAGCCTGAGATTTCATGTAACCTTGTCCAGCAGTCAATCCTGCCTCCAGATGGGCTCGTGTCATAGAGTCAGCCTCATACTCTTACTTGATGGCCCAGAAGGAAAACTTGCCATCTACAAATTTATAGAACATACTTAAAAAGGGTAACTTGTTTTATTGAGCATCCCATATTTCATATGTATTAATATTTCTGCATACGTCCATACAGAATAAACTGCGGAGAGTGCCTTTATGTGGCATTGTGTACCTAAGACAAGGGTCACAGCCACTTGGCTGGTGGCATTAGAGCAAATGCTAAGATTAGAAGCCCTGTAGACAGGGCTCAGCAAGTCACAGAAGATGGGCACCAGTGGCGCTCCTTCAGCCTGCGTGTTGCCTTCATCATTTCCTTGCTTTTCCAGAGGGTCTTCTGCTGTGAACACTGTGGTTTGCAAGATTAGTTTATTTCAACAGACTCACTTCATGAGTGCTGGGGTGTTTCTAGATTGTTTTTACTTTTTAGTTTAATTTATTTATTATTTTTTGCAGTGCTGGGGTTTGATCTCAGGGCCTACACCTTGAGCCACTCCACCAGCCCTTTCTGTGTGGTGGGTTTTTTCGAGATGGGGTCTTGTGAACTGTTTGCCCAGCCTGGCTTTGAACCGCAATCCTCCTCCTGATCTCTGCCTCCTGAGTAGCTAGGATGACAGGTGTGAGCCACTGATGCCTGGTTCTAGATTGTTTTTAGATTGGTCCATTTTGGTAAGTGTATGTAGCTGGTTCTCTTCTTCCTTGTAAGAAAAAGTGTACTACATTTTATTTAGCCATGCTGCTAAGCAAAATAATTGAGTTGTGAGGAGTCAAGTAGCTGTGATGTGTCATCTGTGTCTCCTAGTGACACACCCAGAATTCCTTCCTAAGAGGGTCTTGCTTGGCGAGTGCAAATGGATATGTTGAGCTTTCCAAAATTTTGCATCGGGATTTTAAATGATGGCCAATCCAGCAGAACTAAAGTGGCACTGCATTTTGGTTTGACTTTTCCTGTCTCTCAGTCTTGGGAGGTTGAGCGCTTTCCAGTCTTGTTTACACGCACATATTCGCATACGCTCTACAAAAGTGCGGCATGCCTGATGGCGTGTGTGGGGGGTGGGGGGGGCGTGTGGACCTGCCTTACCTTTCCCCAGCAGCGTTTTATTGAGAAGTCCTTCTTGACCAGTTGCGTCAAGCTCTAAGTCCTTTGTGTCTACGGGGTCATTGCTGATTTTCCATCTGGCTTCATTTTTGGTCCATTATGTGCCAGTTCCACACGGCTTAAATTTCTGGCGTCGTGTAGTGTATTTTAATATTCAGTGGGACTAATCCCTCCTGTTGCCTGGTATTCTGTCAGATTTATAAGTGTATTTTTAAGGTCAGGTTGTTACCTGCGTAAAGCTGTAGAACTGTTTCTACACCATCTTCCTAGTAGAACAGAGTCCCTTCTTTTAGTGGTAAATTGAACCTTTTATTATGAATAATTCATCTTGATATCTTTTAGAGCCTTTTTGTTTTAAAGCCTGTTTTATGAAATACTAATATACCAGCACTGTCCTTCTTTGGTGAGGGTTTTCTTTTTGTTTGTTTGTATATTTATTGTGATGCTGGTGACTGAACCTAGGGCCTTCTTTGTACATGCTAGGCAAGCACTTTAACACTGAGCCACAGCCCCAGCCCTCTTTTTTTGTGGTACTTGGTTAGGGTTTTCATGGCATATCTTTTCCTATTCTTTTCCTTTCTGTGTTCTTAAATTTTAGTGTACGTTGTAAACAGACTATAGTTAGCTTAAAAAAGTAAATACAGGGCTGGGGATGTAGCTCAGTGATAGAGTGCTTGCCAAGCGTGCACGAGGGCCCAAGGTTTTCCCCGCACTGGGGAAAAAAAAAGGATGAGCCAGTGGTTCATGTCTATAATCCCAGCTACTCAGGAGGATAGGATGGTGGTTTGAAGCCAGCCTGGGCAAATAGTTTGCAAGACCCTATCTTGAAAATACCCAACACAAAACAGGGCTGGCGGAATGGCTCAAGTGGTGGAGTGCTTGCCTAGTAAGCGTGAGGCCCTAAGTTCAAACCCCCACATAGCCAAAAAAAAAAAAAACAATTTGTAAGCAATAAAATTTGCCCACTTTGCATGTGCTGCTCAGTGGCTGTTTCCCACTTAATCCCTCCATGATCAGGCCTGATCGTGCCATACCACGGTGAGGGCACCTCGTGCCTGGAAGTCATGCCTGTCCCCACTTCCCACCCCAGGCCACCCCCAGCCAGCTTTCTGTCTACAGTTTCACCCTCTGGGGTCCTGTGTCTGTGAAGCCATCGATGTGTGGGGCTTTGTGTTTGTGAGTCTGTACCTCACGGCCTTTGAAATCGGCCCAGGTAATAGTGTATTGGTAGCCCACTCCTTCTGCACTCAATAGTGTCCGAGCTCCTCCTGTCTGGCCCTGTGCCCTTTGTGAGCTGTTCTCTGATGGAGAATGTCCAAGGGGAGCCCTGCCATCAGGAAGCTCATCCTTCCAGTGGTCAGTGGAAGCTAAGAGAGGTGACAGATGTGTGTATGTAACTACTCTTTTTATTGAATTCTGGGTGTTTTGTGGTGCTGGTGTCTAAAAAAAAAGTGCTAAATGCATGCTGATTGCTTTTTCTCCCTCCCCCAACAGCTGCGGATAACTGTCTGGTCCCTGTGCACAAAGTCCGTGTCTTACATCAAGTATCCCAAAGCTTGTCAGCAGGGTGAGTCTGCCAGAGCCCTGCACACTCACTGCTTTGTAACTGGACTTTCTGTCACAGAGGACTCTGAACAGACAGAAGTAGCTCCAACAGCCTTCATCCTCTACCTGCCCGGCCCTCAGTGACCTTCAGTGTCTCCTGGGTCCCCTGAGCCTGCACCTGTGCCTCTGAAAGACAAGGCCCCTCCCAGTCTTCCAGTATGCACTTTCCTTTTGTGCAGAGCTGGTGATGTGGGGACACCCTGAGCTTCCAGCCGTCAGCTTAACTCACTGACTCCTCTGCCGAGTGATTCCCAGCTCTTTGCCTAGGGGCATCGCAGCCTGTCGCAGGGCATTGCACAGGACAGGTGACAAGTCCTGTCCCCATTGAACCTCAGAGCCCTCTGGGTGCAGTGGCGGCTGGTGCAGCGTGCCAGGGCAGTGATGGGACGCTCTGCTCCGGAACCTGGAGGCTGTGCAGAGGTGCATTTGCAGTGGTCAGGGGGACACTGTGTGATTGACCTCGCCATCTGGCTCTGCTGCTGTCAGTTTGGAAATTACACTAGGATGAAGTCCAGTTGGGGTTTATTTTTGATTTTATAGTTCGAATGTTAGGATCCCTCCAGAGGAGATGCACGTTTCCTGAATGGAAATCACAGCTCTGTTACTTGAGGTGTTCTTTTCACTCGTGAAGCATGACACCTAGCCTGGGGCTTCTGCAGCTAGTACTGAACTGGAAAAAATAGTTTAATGGTTTCAGCCAAAGATTTTTCTAAGTATTTACCATAAATTTAGTTCTTCCAGATGATTAAGTTAAAAAGCAAAAATAAGAAATACAGCAATAAGCTGACTCCTTTCTGTTGTTTTTTGTTTTTTTGAGATGGGGGTCTCACTCGTTAGCCCAGGTCGTCCTTAAACACAAGAACCTCCTGCCTGAGTGCTGGGATTACAGGTGTGCCCTACCACACAGGGTTATAAATTGGCTTGGTTACATGAAAATATCCTTGGATTTCCTGCAATTTATTTTGCAAATTTGGTAACTCAAACCCCAGTTACACACACACACGCACACACACACAATTTGGTAACTCATAAGGCACTGTATTCTTTCAGGAAGATTTTGTGACTCATCAGGGGTCAGGTCAGTTGATACGATTTTGAGATTCTGTTTGGCAAACTGTCTCCTTTGTCTAAAGAAATGTCATCCTTGTCGTCAACACTTGTGGTGTTTCCGCTTCTCTTGACCTCTGCTTTCCTCATCCTTGAAAATTACCACTGTACTTTCTTTTGTTTGGACACTTCCGATTTCAGTTTGCTTTCCTTTTTCTGACAGGAATAACTTTTACCAGGGACGGCCGCTACCTGGCCTTGGCAGAGAGGCGGGACTGCAGGGACTACGTGAGCATCTTCGTTTGTAGCGATTGGCAGCTCCTTCGGGTAAGGCCGTCCTCTCCTGGGCAGCAGAGGGAGGAGATGGGTGAAATGTGCCCCTGATTCCAGGGGCCTTTTGCACAGTGTGGAGCAATGGGAGCTTCGCACTGCCAACGGGCACGGGCTAAGCGTGGGCAGCCTCACTGGTGTGTGCTTGGTTGCGTTAGAAGTTAATGTGTACTGACTTTGAGCCCCTTTCCCTTCCTTGGAGCTCGCAGTGGCTGCATGTGTGCGCTACACCTGGAGGAAAACCACTGAGTTTAACCCTCGCGAAGGCCCAGCTCTGAGCCGGATGCTTCAGGTGCTGTGGCATGCTGTCCTCCAGGTGTCTGTGGTCTGCAGGTGGCAGACCTTGTGCAGAGCTGCAGTACAATAGCGTTAGACAGAAAAACCTGGGGAGGGAGGGGGCAAGCATTGTTGGAAAGGGGTCCTGGGCAGCAGTGTCCCTGGGGTCTTGCCTGCACTGGTCTTAAATGACTGAGGCTTGCCAGGCAAGGGAAAGTGAGAACGGCACGGACACACGAGCCTGGACAAGAAGATGTGAAAACACACCTCGTGGTGGGAAGCAGAAGATGGGCATCCCACCCAGCACTGCTGCTGGCACAAGTGTCATCTGTGTGTAGGACTGGAGCACAGGGAGAGAAGGAGGACATTTTTTCTATTCATGCATAGAAAAATTAAATGTAGACTATGTTAAAAACACCAGTTATAAAATAAGTGCAATTATTAAAGGAAATGTTTTCAAGTTGTCGCTGTCTTTCCTCTCCCGTTTGGAAGCACTTTGACACGGACACCCAGGATCTCACAGGGATCGAATGGGCCCCGAATGGCTGTGTGCTGGCAGTGTGGGACACCTGCCTAGAGGTATGAAACATGTCCAGTGACAAGCTCTCTTTGAAGAGCTGTCACCTGACGCTTTTGAATCTAGCAAGACAGTGGTGCTGCCTCATTTCAGATGATGACTGGAACTCTAATGGACGAGTCATTTGGTGTACGCCACAAGTTCTTCTTTTCACTCACTGTCTCTGCTTCTCTGGTTATGACCTCAGTTCTGATTCATAACTGATTTGCCCCATGACTTGAGGATGAGGACAGTTTCTCCTACACTGGCCCCACTAGCTGTAGCAGCATCTGTGACATGTTCCTGGGGTGTGTGACATGTCTGAATGTTTCATCTGCAGTACAAGATTCTGCTGTACTCCTTGGATGGCCGGCTTCTGTCTGCATACTGTGCCTACGAGTGGTCCTTGGGCATCAAGTCTGTGGCCTGGAGCCCCAGCAGTCAGTTCCTGGCCATTGGGAGCTACGACGGAAAGGTGGGAGAGTGCGCAGGGTTGGGGAAGCACCACGAGGCGCAGGCATGTCACCCTCCTGTTTCCTTCCTCAGGCGCGCCTCCTTAACCACGTGACATGGAAGATGATCACTGAGTTTGAGCATCCCGCCACCATCAATGACCCCAAGATAGTGAGTCCCCAGCGGTGTCTTGGGTGGTGCGGGAGCTGAGCTGCCCTCTTTCTGTTAGTGGTTATGATGTTATTTTCCCTGTCCCCGTGTCTCCGCACAGTTTGTTCATGGATGGCTCAAGGGCCAGGCTCCCCTGCAGTCTGTACTTCCTGTCACATTGCCCACACTGCCCACCTGCTGCAGATCCCTGCTCTCCAGAGGGGACCAAGGTCCCTGCAGAAAATACTGGGCATCTGCTGTCACGCCAGGCACAGTGCTCTGGGCCTCAGCCAGACCCCTGCCCCTGCAGAGGGGAGGACAGAGGGACAGGCTGGGAAGGGGCTGGGAGAACTGGGGATCTTCACGGGGTCTGGAGAGGGAGCATTTCGGGTCCAGGGAGCAGGACGTGCAAAGGTGCTACCGTGGGGGTGGAAGAAGCAGCCAGCTGTGCAGCAGTTAGGGTGCTCACCGCCACTGGCTGCTGGGAGACAGCAGGGAACAAAGACAAAGTTGCTGACTGGCTCGTGGAGTCCAAAGATACCTTAGAGCCAAGGGAAGGGTAGGGCTGCACACCAAGGCTAGGCAAGCTGCTAGCACTTTCCTCGGTGCCCTTCAAGAGGAACCTGGGAGGAGGGGCAAGGAGTCCTGAAGGGAGGCTGGTTTTAGGTAGAAGGGAGGCGCCTCCTAAAGCACTTGTGGATGCACCTTTGGCCCCGCTAAAGGGCAGGCTGGCAGCAAGCCTGAGCCGGGGCCACACTGCCTGTTGTCTCCCGGTGAGGGCAGATCCTGTACTTATGTCCAGCCTGTGAACTCAGTGCCCTCATGGATACTTCTCAGTCCCTGTCACCAATGGTTGGTGGCTGTGTTGTATCTTTCAGGTCGTGTATAAGGAAGCTGAAAAGAGCCCACAGCTGGGGCTGGGCCATCTGTCCTTTCCACCACCCTGCGCAGTGGCCAGTCCCCTCTCGGCCTCAGAGAGCAAATGTAAGCAGCAGAGGGCTGTCCTCCGTGGGAAAGTTTGCTTGGTTTCCTTTTTCTTTAAAAGATTCTTTTGTCTAGGCACTGTGGTGTGAGCATGGGAAATCTCTGGCAGAGATTATTTTTAAGTGAAGAATAAATTCCGAGTGGACCAAAGGGAGTTAGGAGGCAGAGTGGGCAGCTCAGCCTGTCCTGGTCCCAGCTGTGTGCCTGTGCTCCATGTTCCTTGTCTGTGCAGTGGAATGGCACAGCAGGTGCCCCTGCCCCACAGGGACATGGGGTCTGAGACTGAGCAATGCATGGGCAAGCACACTCCCCAAAAGCATGTGGCATTTTTTTTTTTGGTGGTACTAGGATTTGAACTCGGGGCTTTGCTTTTGCTAGGCAGGCTCTCTATCATTTGAGCTGCACCCCAGCCCTTTTTTGCATATGTTTTGGATAGGGCATTACCTTCTTGCCTGGGGTTGGCCCTGGACCACAGTCCTCCTATGCCTCCTGTGTAGCTGGGATCCCACCCAGCTTGTTTGTGGAGACAGGGTCTCATTTTTGCCTATGCTGGCCTCAAGTCATGATCCTCCTATTTCCACCTCCTGAACAGCCAAGATTCCAGGTGTAAGCCACTGTCCTTGGCCCCTGTGGTTGTCTTACTGCTTCCTGCTGCTGGGTTATAAGCTCTTTCTACATCGGAAAGCTGGAAAGCTGGGAGGCTGCAGACAAGGTTGAGGCAGATTGTGAACTGAGCTGCTGAAGTGCACAGAAACAAATACCGAGACGCTGGGTCAGAGCATGCCCCACCCTTCCAGCTGGTCGGGGCTGCTGGGGTCGACAGTGCTGAGTCCCCTGTCCCTGCTCTCCAGGCCCTTTAGGCAGTGGCACCACTGTCCCAAGGGTCTCATAGACAGGCCTCTTAACCACTGCTGTGCTCCTGTTGAGCCTGCATGTCAGCAGGTCGGCCCTAGGCCTTTATGCTCCCCGCTGGCCGGGGTTGGAAATCCTGCCTCCTGCCCACCCAGTTTGTCCTCCCTCCCTGTTCCAGATGAGATCGCCTCTGGGCCAGTTTCCTTGCAGACCCTGAAGCCTGTGGCTGACAGAGCGAACCCTAGGATGGGCATAGGGATGCTGGCTTTCAGCCCAGACAGCTACTTCCTGGCAACAAGGAACGGTCAGTGCAGCACTCATGGGCGGTGTTAGCATCTCACTATGTCCTTTGGCATCGAGTAGAAACAAGTGGAAAAGCAAGCGATTGTGTCCCATGTGGGGCTCCCCGATTTCCTCCTGACATGGCCACCATGCATAGCTGATCCTCAGAGTGGAGCTGTCAGCTCGGTGCCCTGGCTCGCCTGCTCTCCTGCTGTCTCCTCTCTCAGGGAAGAGCAGGGACCCAGGGCACACAGCCTGCCCCGTGGGCCTGTTTCTTAAAAGAAAAATTTTCAGACCATTACAAATGTAAAAAAGCAAAGGAAAGCAGACCAAAGGCCTTTGGAGCCTGTCTGCTTTGTTCCAGCACTGGTCCCCCATTAGATCCAGCACACTCAACTCCAGGGTTTGCTGCAAAGGGTCAGGTTGACAGTGCCCTGTGGTTTGCTCCCTCGCAGACAACGTTCCCAACGCCGTCTGGGTCTGGGACATTCAGAAGCTGAGGCTGTTTGTGGTGCTGGAGCAGCTGTGTCCTGTACGCTCCTTTCAGTGGGACCCGCAGCAGGCACGGCTGGCCATATGCACAGGAGGCAGCAAGGTCTACCTGTGGTCCCCAGCAGGCTGCATGTCAGTGCAGGTGCCTGGGGAAGGTAAGCACATTCCAGGGTAGGGACTGTGGCCTCTGATGCAGTCTGGCACCAGCTGGGCTCGGCTGCTGAAACCTGCTGTCCACAGCACAGTGATATTGGTGATACTGTCTCCCCATCTTTCAGGAAGCCTCAAGGCTCTACCCAATGTGTACACCTGGCAGGGGACCCACTGCCCTTTATCTATAGCGTAGATAGCAGCTTTGGGCTCTTGGTTCCCCCATCTGGGTTAACTGGGCCCCTTGCCATGGTGACCCATGGTCACCTTCCTAGGAATCCCAGCCCCTCCATTCTAATCTTCTAGCCACCTGTGTCTCTCTCTAGGGGACTTTCCAGTGCTATCTCTGTGCTGGCATTTGAGCGGGGACTCGCTGGCCCTCCTCAGTAAGGATCACTTCTGTCTTTGTTTTCTGGAGACCAAGGAGGAGGTCAGCACAGCCTTCAGACAACAGGACAGCCACACATAGGACCTGGGCAGAAACCAAGGCAGAGCATGTACTGATGTAAGGAAAGAGTGGACTATGCAGGGAGGTCTCCAGCTGGGATGCACTGGGTGACATGACTACTTTTCTGTAAATATGTACAGCAGAGTTATAATTTTCATTATTTAAAATAAACATTTGCCAATTCATAGACTGCTGACTTGTTTCCTTGAAAGGCTTCTAGGTCAGGTTACCTTCTGGTCTCAGGCAGAAAGTAATGGAGCCCCTCCCCTAGGGCTTCATTGTGCTATGGGTCCACTACTTTCAGTCACTGAACATTGTAGAACAAGAGCAGCTTTCTGTGGGGCACTTGGCCTCTCTGTGGTAGGGTCTGCTTTGGAGTGTGGAGAGTCCCGAGCACCTGAGGCCAGGGCCACCTTCAGGCATGTCAAGCAGGCAGCTGGCCAAGGTTACTCGGGCCTGCTGAATCAGTTCTGCAGGGAGTCCTAAGTCCTTTGGGCTTGGGAACAGTGCCCATGGTCTCCACCTGGCAATGTGAGGACACACCTGGCCCACCCTGCACAGCTCCAGGCACCTCTAGCTTGTGCCAGCCAGGCCACAGCACCAGGGCTGGTGAATCAGGATTCAGCCTGGACTGCAGTTCCACCACCTGCATTTCCTTAAGAGGACCAGACCAGGGAGGGTGTGCATCATTGCTCTGCAGAGCATGCTGACAGATCTACAAAACTCCATACAGGCCTACAGAGCTGCTTCCTTGCTGATGCACCTCTTTTAATGACAGTAACTTTAAAAAAAGGAGCAACATCCATTTGGTTCTAAATGTCTTTACTACAAGACCAAAAGCACAGGCTGAAGACTCGGGTGCACTTTTGAGACAGCCTTTCAATTTGGACAGGCCATGGCGCTCTGGTCCCATTAGGACCACTTAGCATAAAGCTGCAACAGAACTGTAAATAAGGAGGAATAAACTGACCAGCCAGCATTTAAAGTTTCGCAGAAAGAAGTGCTTCAGCCACACAAAGAGCTGTGTGTGGTGGCAGGGGAGGTGCACAGAAGCTCAGGCAGGCTAGTGAGAGGCTCTGATGCCACCTGGGATCTATGGAGGGGGCTGCAGGGACCTGGGTGGCTGGCACTGCTCCTTTCATGAAAGTGCATTCTTTAAATAGCAAACTCCCTAACTCCTTTTAAATGTGAATAGAATGATACAAACTCAGGATACGTATTTAGCTGTCAAAATTGTGTAAAGAACAATCATGGTGACGTCCTCAAGGTAGTAAGTTGTGTTAAATGGTTCTCTAAACCTCTGTGGGCCTGGGAAAGATGCCGGAAGTATTAACACAACTTGGATTAATTTCAGAAAGAGTAAACTTTAGGTGGAACCCATTTACAAGAGAGAGGCTGTTCACTAAGAGCTGAGCAGGCACAGGCTGCGTCTTACTTGTGACTAGTCTACTGGCTGCGTTTGCATTTAGTTTAAAAAAATGGATTGAACTTCAAAATACAAAACTTGACACAAGTGTGAACATCTGTGCAGTGCAGACACTAGAGACACTGGTCCCTCCCTGTGTCCCGCAGTTCATGCAGCAGAAGTGGAAAAGTGAGCTCACACTCTCAGCATGCTGAAGTGGCTGGGCCAGGAAGAACCCCAGAGGCCAAATAGGTGCCCTCAGGAAAACATAAATCAGACTACAGAAGGAATACCAGCAGCACATCAGCCAGTCATTTGCCTTTGTAGCTCAGTTACCAGGTCCAGTATCTAAATATATACAGGATTGATTCACTTGACTATTCTAATTGCACTCAGATCCCTAAGTGATGCCCAAATCCCTGCAGCTGCAGCAGGGCTGGCATATGGTCACATACTCTCCGAGTCCCCAGTCCACTGGGCTTTCCTGGAAGTGCTCCCTCCCATGGTGCTGACATCTAGAAGCCTATTTTGCCTCTGGTCATGGAATAACCCAGTTTGGCCTCATTGTTGATGAAGGACATCAATCCCACGTAGGTCTCGATGAGGAGGGGGCGCTCCAAGACCAGCACACTGTTTGCTTGTCCTGGCAAAGGACTTTCCTTTTGGGCTTTTTTGACAGCTTGGATTAACAGTGCCTTGAAGCTTTCCAACTTTAAAAAGAGAGAGAGAGAGAGAGAGAGAGAAACAGAGCTTTAACCTTCAGGCAAGAAAAGAGAAACCCATTACATGGAAAAATTAGCATTCTGAGACATTTAAATCCCCCCAAACTCCACACAGTCATGTAACACTTAATGACAAACATCGGCTCTGAGAAACGTGTCATCAGTGATGCTTTCCTGTGTGAACACTGAGAACAGAGTTGCACAAACCTAGATGGTATGGGTCAACCGCTCAATGTAATCAATTAAGACGCAGGTGCAGGAGATGTAGGAGGCACTGCCAGCAGTCCAGCAGACGGCTGACACTAAACTGTTCCTGTCGTAAGTAGGAGCATACTTCAAATGGTCGAAGAACAGTAATCACACAAACTGGAAATGGTCGTTTAGTCACCAAGTACTGTACATAATTACATGTGCCACTTTTTTGTTGTTTTTGTTTTTTGTGGTACTGGGGTCTCACTTGCACGTGCTCTATGAGTTCAACCACGCCCCCAGCCCATGTGCTGACATGTATACCACTGGCAGCAAAGGAACACACTGCATACAACATGTGACAATTGCCACATTACTAGACACAGGACTTTATGGGACCACTGTGGGGTAAGCAGTGTGTGTTGACTGAAACATCACGTGGCACATGACTGGACTTCCTTGATGGACCCCTCAGTGCCCTCTCGAATGAACGTCTCTCCACCACACCCTGGTGTCCTCCACAGCCCTGCCAAGTACATCTCTAGGTAGACGCTGTGCTCTGTGATGAGTCAGCTCGCACTGGCCGAGCCCTTGCTAGCTCCTCACCCCCCAGATTAGAGGAACCACCCCCAGCTCTGTGCTCCTCTAACCCTGGTCCAAGGCCACAGAAGTCCAGACTAAGTGTCTTGCAGCATGGCAGGGTCTGCCGCCATTCTCTGAATAAACTAAGTTTACTTCCTCATTGCTGCTAGCTGCAGTTCAAGTGCCCAGCAGCGTGTTCAAGTAGCCACCATATCGAACAGCCTCTGTACTGTGGGTGCACATCTGTCTGCTTACTCGGCACAGAGACACAGTCTTCTCATCCACACCGGCCATCGGGTGTTCTATGAAAGTGGCATAGGGCACATTGGTGGACCAGGGATTCCATCTGTTGAAGAAAGACGGGCGGCTCTGCTTGTCCCACTGAATGCGAATCCCAAAGCCTTCTCGCCTAATGGAGGATGAGAAGCAGTCACCCTTAACACAGCGGGTACAGAACTACAGGGATGGACACGAGACAGTCAAAGCAGCTCCATGTCCACAGGAAAGACCTCAGATACTTCCCAACAGAGAATGGCTAGTGAGTTTCAGTAGTGACTATGGTTGACACTAACAATTGCTTTAAGAGCTTCTAAGTATGACAGATTATACTGTCTTGGTTGTACTAAACTTCTTTATCTGTCTATTAAAAACTCATAGCCAGGCATGGTGGCACACATCTGTAATCCTAGCACTTGGGAAGTTGAGGCAGGAAGATCATCAGTTCAAGGCCAACCAAAAAGATAAAAAAATTAATGGGAATATGTTAGCTTAGCCAAATAACTGATGTCTTCGTAACTCTTAATGTTTTATTGAATGTTGCTTAAAACATTTATTAAAGTTAGTTTCTTGAATTCTCTATCCAATCTCTATACCAAAACACTAAATTTTACAGTTTAATTTGACTATATACTCATGTCTGGATTTCTCATTTCAGAAAATTCTTAAGGTACAATGATCAACTCTTGAAAACTGGCCATTAGATATTTTCAGATGTATCTACTTTTAGCAATAGTTATGTATTTTTTCTTTCTTTTTGCTGTACTGGGGTTTGAACTCGGGGTCTACACTTTGAGCCACTCCATCAGCACTTTTGTGTGATGGTGTTTTCCAGGTAGGGTCTCACAAACTATTTGCCCTGGCTGGCTTGGAAATGTGGTCCTCCTGTTCTTTGCCTCCTGAATAGCTAGGATCACACCAGCACACAGCTCAATATTTGGAAATTAAATTGGCATCCTACCTTTTTTTTTTTTTTCTTTTAAAATCAACTAATAAAGGGCCCCCTGGTCATGCCTGCATGACCATGTGATCCTTTCCCGGCTGGAAATGAAATGCGCTCATCTAAGGAAGATCCACGTCTGCTTTTAACACACTGCTTCAGTCTCCATTTTCACGGCAAGCCTAACAGCTACATTCTGCCAGCGTCCCTTTTCAAGGAGGCCCTCGGCCGCCCCAAAGTCGCTTGCTTCTATTTTAAGGACCTTGCTACTGAGACCTTAGCTATCAAGTAAGGGGGTTGCCTTTAAGAGAGCTGAATGATAAGGTCCACTGGGCCCCACCGTCCGGTGAAACTGGGTTCTCTGCATGCACTTACTTGTTGAGTGATTTCGGCGGAAACTGGAATTCTCCATAGGAGATGGTGTCCACCGCACTGAGCGCCACCCTGACCACCTGCTGGCACTGAAGGCTGATGAAGTCGTATTTACAGATGAGCAGCGACTGGTCGGTGAGCAGCACCAGCCGCTCCTTCTCGTTGTTCCAGTGGTCCACCCTGGAGGCCAAGACCGGTCACCTGGGCATGGAGTCGGCGGCCCCCCACCCCGAGCCCGCGTGGCCCCCCAGCTTACTCGGTCAGCAGCCACACCCCCTGGATCTCGCCGTCCTCCACGGGCCGGACAACCGCGCGGATCTCCTCCACCGCCTGCTCGATGGTGCCGGGCTGGGCGCGGCCAGGGCGGAGGTCACTCTCCGCGGACGCGCACCGCCCCTCCCCCCGCCCAGGCAACCTTCTCCCAACCTCCGGTCCCGGCCCCCGCCCGGCCCGGCCCGGCCCGGCCCGGCCCTCACCCGGAACACGAAGTACTCCTTAACACGGGCGCGGCGCGTGGGGTCATGGACGCTGAGCGGCCACAGCGTCTGGCGCAGAGGCGTGCCCGCCCCCGGCCGGCCCCCACCCGCCCCCACCTCTTCACCGGCCGCCAGCAGCGCCGTGGGGCTCGTGCCCGCCGAGTCCACCGAATCCCGCAGCTGCAGCATCGCGGCACCAGACCCCCCGGCCCGACCCCGACGCGGCCGCCCACCCACCGCCCGCAGCCGCCAGCCGCGCCCCTGGCCACGCCTCGCCCGAGGCCCGTCGTGATTGGCTGCGTTCTTCTGACCCCGCCCAGGGCCCCGCCCTCTGCCTCTCGGGATTGGCTCTTCCCCAGCTGTCTTCCGCGATTGGTTCCGGCCCGCCTCCGTTCACAATCCCGCCCCTAGCCTTGCCGGAAACGGCCGCCGCGCTCAAACACACTTCCTGTTTACGGCACGGGAAAGTGGCGGAGCGGAGGGAGGACCGTTGCCCGGGAGACTCAGAGCTGCCGGGGAGGAGGAAGGGGTGGAGCGTGGGAACGACAAGCGCGGATTCCTGGGAGGGAGTCCTGCCAGGGGGGTGTCCTCACACGCTCATCTTGCGCGATGTCACTTTACCTTCTGGAGGGCGCGCCGGGGCGCATGCGCTTTGGACATGTGCGTTGGTCAGGCGTGTGTCCACGTCGTCGGGCGTGTTGCATGTCCACGCGTGTTCCACGCGAGGGTGCCCCACGTCACGGAAGGGCGGCGTCATGGTGAAGGGTTTGGAGGAAAACTGCGTCGGTTCCCAGCGTGCCCGGGGCTCCGTCGCTCGCGGGCTCTGCAGCTTCCGTGCACCGGAGCTCGTTGTGAACCACCAGCGTCAAACAAGGCCGACCCAGGACGGGGCAGCAGGGCGCCGGTTAAGTGGATGGTGTAGACTTGCATTTTGCCCTCTGGGCCCAGCTCTGTGCTGAGCGCGGGCGTCCATGGAATCCTCACGTGACCTTAGGGAGCGGGCGAAAGGGGGCACCGAGGCTCAGGATGGGCCGCTTGCCAAGGTCACACCGTGAAGGGCCAAGCCAGGATTCACAGGGGACACGGCTCCTGTCCCTGCCCTTGTCCTGGGCCACTAGAGCACCACCCATCCTTCCCAGGCACTCGATCTTGCTTTGGAGCTGCCATGCTCCAGGAGCCTCAGCCTGGGAGGGCTCAGCCCTCATACCCAGCTGACCCCAACGCCACCCGCCTTTGCACTGTCCTGACAAACCCCAAGAGCTGTGCGTTGATGACAGTTTACATGTGCTCACCCAGTTATCAGTCTGATTTACACTGCCCCTATCAGGCCTCTTACTCTCCCCCAGGCTCCCAAAGCCTTCTTGCCTCATTTCTACTGTGTCCTCCTTGGGTCACATAGTTTAAAACTCAAATTCCCAGGAGACATCTTGTCATTCACCAGGGTTCACTAGCTGTTTACGTTCTTGACTTTTTCTTATAATCTACTTTGTGTACCCAGTTACCGTGCTGTGTGTGCACAGTATTTGTTGGGCAGGTTTGTAGAACTAGCCTCCTGCCTGTGATTGGCACTTTGGGCTTTATAAGGACTTCATAGTTCTTTATTTTGTCCAAAGGCCAGGGATGTAAACACCGTTGCTCATGACACAGTTCGGAGAAGCAGGTTTGGAGAGTCCCTGTGAGTGCTTGAGACTCACAGTTGGCACAGCTGTGCCAGTGAGTTCCTCCCGGTTTGTTCAGAAGGTAAGGGTCAGTCAGGGACCTCCTGAAGCTGGGACTTCGTGGGGGAGCACACAGGAGGTCCTTGATGGCCACTCAACGCTCTACTTGGACATCAAAACTGACAGCAACAGGAGGTATTGAAACAGCTTTAGTACTTTGTTCCTGGAAAAATTTAGGATTTTAAAGTGTGCAAGTATATGTAACAACGTGCGTCTAGCCCCACTGGCCTTTTGAGGACCGCTTGCTGCTGCTGCCTTCCTTAAACCAGGGGCCCTGCCCTGTGTGAGGAGGAAGCACCTCTTCCCATGCCTCTGCTGGGCAGCCTGATTTGGGGCTTCTTGAGAGGCAGCCTGAGTCAGCTGAGTTTGGAGTGCTCCCACTCCTCTCCTGTGCTCCCCTGAGTATGGAGGGAGTAGGATCAGAAATGAGGTCCCATAGATAGCAGCTGAAAGGGGGGACTTGGAGCAGAACCTCCTAAGTTTAAATCTTTGCCCCTCTGCTTCTGTCTGTATGGACTTGGCCCCGTCAGTTCTCTGTGGTTCAGTTTCCTTGTATGCTGAGTGGGGCAATCCTGGAACATACGCCATGTTGGGAGGATTAAATGAGCCAGCACCTATGCAATGCTTAGCACCTGCCTGCTCATCCTCAGGGCATCCCTGAGGCAACCGCCTCAGGCAGTTACTACTCACCATGTTCACTGGCCCCCAACACATGGCAGGGAGGTTGCAAACCCTGCCTCTGCCCCCTCACATGTGTGCAGTGGCATTGTTAGCCCCTGTCCTGTACCTGTAGCTCCAGGGAGGGGTGACTTTGAGGAAGTTCTTCCTGTCACAGGCCACCTTTCAGAGTCAACAGTGAGCACTGTACTCTCCTTTATTCTCAAGCTCAGTGAGAGGAGGAATAGGCGTCTCCTGGGACTACAAGACTTGGTACCACTACTAGGGCCTCTCAGCAGGGTGCTGAGTTTCAAGGTGGAGCAGTGAAGATGAGAGGATGGAAAGTAAACAGTGACTGCAGGTGCTCTGGAGGGGTTTCAGGGTGTTTGGATGGACGAGGCCCCTTGGAATTTGGGCTAGAACTGATTGAGCCTGCCGTGGGGGGCCTGGCAATCCAGCTTGGCCATTTGCACCTGTGCTGACCTTGAACTCACTATTTACTCTTCCTCTTTCCTTGTCCTCCCTGGGGGTAGGTAAAAAATCCTGGCTACAAGCCATGTGAGATTACCTGAGCATGTGTTTGATGGCTGTTTAGAGACTGTTCCCATATCTGTCAGCAGGTGGCAGCACTTCCCACGTTCAGTCTTCCATCAGAAGATGCAGCTGTGTGTCATGGGCTGTTTTAAAGTCTGAGGTGAAGTTGTTACTCCCGCAGAAGACTCTAAATCTCAGCTGGGAAGAATGGTTTCTTCATTTCCTGTTGCTGTGATTTAACATTTTTACAAAATCAGTGGATCTGGTTTATCTTTTTCTTTTCTTTTTTTCTTGTCTTTCTTCCTTCTTTTTTTTTTTTTTTTTTTGCAGTGTTGGGGTTTGAACCCAGGACCTCAAAGCCATACTCTTAGCCCAAGTTCCACCTTTGAGGGCTGACTGATGGATGAAGGGGTGCTTGGCCTGGAGGACTGTCCTGTGCAGGATCTGTGACAAGCTCTCTTCCAGAAACAGCTGCACTTTGGCCCATGTCCTGAAGATGTCTCTTGGCCTCTCCTTCCCCTGTGGAACCAGGGTTCACACTCTGCTGAGACGGTCATTAAGTCCTCAGATGGCGTGATGTGGACACTGCCATTGATCATTGATCTTGGCAGCCATAAGAGAAGCAAAGGTGACTTTGACAAAGAAATCTCCACCCAGATGGGAGGTCTGTTGGGTGTGGCTACCTCAGGGCAGACAGGCCAGTGCCTGTTCCCCACAGGTTCATCTCCTGTCCAGGCCAGGGCTCCCTGAGGACAGGCACTGATCTGGTTTCTTCACAGCTTCTTGTGGGTGCTGTAAGAAATGACCTGAAGCTAGGGACTAACCCTACAGAAATGCACTACTTAACAGTGTGGGCAAAGCTGCCCCTGTTAATGGCGCTGGTGCAGTCTGGGATCAGAAGATCCTGGTTTTTTTGCTCCAAATGGAAAAATCCAAGAAGACCATGTGGATGGGATGAGGTAGGACAGCTTTATTGAGAAAAGGAGAGTCATTGCTCTGCCAGGTGAGGAAAGGGAAGAAGAAGCAGAGGGTAAGGTGGGTGCAGGTGGAGTCCGCCGGCAGAAGGAGGATGCTTTTCTTCTTCAGGTGCCTCTAAAACCTTAGGACCCCATGGAGAGCAGGCCCAGGAGGTTCCCACCCAATGATGATCAAGTGGGGAAGGGGCATGGGCGGTTCCCAGCCAGGTGAGGGTCGTCTGGCCCATCCGCAGGCAACTCCTTGAGCCCCTAGCTTTTCTGACTTCTAGCCTGCCTCACCTCCTTCCTTTCCAGGGCTGTGAGGGAGAATCTGCTCTCGGTCTGTGTCCAGCTTTGGCGGCTTGCAGCGTTTACTGACTCATGGTTCTGCCTCTCCCTGGGAGAGTCTGGGACTCACATGTGCTTCTCCCTTCTGCCATTGGATTTAGGGTCCACTCAGATAACCTAGCCTCATCCTGAGACCCCCCCTCCTTAATAACACTGGCAAAGATCCATTTTCCAAATCAGCTCCCGTTCACAGATATGGAAGCCATGGGCCTCTCCTTCTGGTGGTGCCATTCAACCCTGGCATGGCTGTCTTCCCAGTGCCTGGCCTTGTCACATGACTGGGTGGTTTTTGCTTGCACTTCCTATACCTCCCGCCCTCCTGCCTGCTTCCCCTGTGGAAGGATGGGGTAAAGGATAGGGGCCTGTGTTGGGTTTAGGTCGGGCCTAAGAGTTCTGATACCACATGGTCGTTAGGCAGTAGCTGTGCTTGTTGGAGAAGTCTTACAGGCTGGTTTTTAAAACATTGAACAGGAGCCGGTGGCCCCGGCATTTCCTGGACAGGAAAGGTCAGAAGTGGAGCCAATGGACCAGGCTAGGCAGCTGGCCCTGTGCTGCAGAATCCTGTGGCTTATCCCCACGTTCAGGCTGTGTTTCATGGCCCATGTAACTCAACACAGACATTGGGTCTTTTTGTTTTGGTTTCTCATCTGTGGCAGGTTTGGAGATTTAGAATAAACTTGGAAACTGTTGGCCCACAGGCTTCTCAGTGAATTGGTTGGTATTTGGGGCAGGGCTTCAGGTGTGTGCCTTGCTCTCTAGAGAGTGTCCTGTCTCTGGCTCTCACCATCACCAGTGGGGCATCTTGGCAGAAGTGCATGGGAACAGTGGCTGGAAGGCTGCTGTGGGTGCTTTGAGTCCAAGGACCTGAAGACACCTTTGGCGTCAACCAGGCTGCGCTCTCACTTATCAGGAGGTGCATTTATAAAAATTCAAACAAGACGCAGCTTCTTTTCTTGGATTGGTGGAGACATCGGTTCTGGCAGCTGGACAGAATGTTTTGCAGTTCTCCCCATGGAATTCTCTTCT